ACATTATGAGAATGTGAGATGCGACAAAACTGAAGAGAGAGAAACAGAGTGCTACAAATCTCTTGCGCATGAGACTGCTATGATTATGAGACTATTCGTATTGCGTCTCGCATACGGTAGCGCGCGCACTGGAAGCCTGCTACCAAGTCTTTGGGATTTTCCTTATTAGAGAGTTGCATAAATTTTTCTCCTTCAGTTTACTTAAATCTTTGGTTTTTATTAGTTAGGTAGGTTCCGTTTCAACACATTGTAGTTTCATTTTATACCTGTGATCTTGACTTTTTTACCTAGGAGATAAGTACTTAAGGGGGTTAGATTTTGATAAGTTCTTTAGTGGGAATGACACTGATAAAGACTGCACATTGTAGTCGAAATACGTATCTGTCATGGATACCAAAATTTATTAATTGGAATTAAATGGAAGATAACCTTTTTTGCTGTTTGATACAAAAGAAGTCAACTCCAAGAGAGAGGAATGCCTCACAAGCATTTTCAAATGGATTATTCAATATATCATTGCACATAAACATTTAACCTCACTTTTTTGACAGTTCATGGAATTTGTTTACAAAACATAACATAAATGTCCATTTAAAAAAAAGTTCTCTAAACAGTCAAAATTGTATTGCTGACGCCGCCATTGATCTATCCAGCTTTCCATGCTCGGTAATGGCGGCCTTTTTGTATGAATAAATGTATCCTTCACTGTGCTTTTTGACACTATCTGGAGGTTCGGATTTTGACTCCTTCCTTTCCCTCTCCCAGGAATAGAAGAAAATGGAACAACATACGCCCTACAGTTAGTGTCAAAAAGCACAGTGAAGGATACATTTATCATACAAACAGGCCGCCATTACCGAGCATGGAAAGCCGGATAGCTTTTATCGGTCAAAGAACTGCTGGGGGGGGGGGGGGGGGGGGGGAAGGCGACACATCTAAATCTCATTTATAAATATTCAAAAAATCTCACACTAGCGAATCAATCTTCGAAAAATCTTCTTTCAAGCTACTTGCAATGCGCATCATCTTTTTGTAGGAAATCTTCAAATTCGCCATCGATCTTCTTTCTATCTACTCAGTGTGCGTACAGCTAAACACAATCTTTCCTGCATCGAAGATAGAGTCGCCCTCCTCGGTATATTGCCTTTTCGGCCTTTTATCTCTTCGTCCTTTTCTCCCTTGGAATTTTTGCCTTTTACACCTTTTGTCACACCGACATTTTGTCCTTTAGTTCTATGCTCCACTGAAATCAATTCGACCTTTTGTCCCTTCTACCTTTTGTCCTGTGGTCTTTTGCCCTATAACGTAAAATTTGTAAACAAGAAAGTTAGCGAGAAGGATTAGTAATTAGATTTAATAATTAGTTAGCTTCATTTGCTAGTCCATCTTCAGAAACCAGTAGTGGCCTGAAGTCCAAACTTTATGAGTAGGTCTAGGGACTTGGAGACAAATTAAAATTAAGGCTCAGAAGTTTTCTGAGCCTGCCTCCAAAGACGGCTGAATTCAAATTCTAGCAATTTAGGCTGTTTTCAAAATGATAGCTACTTTCAAGTCTTTTGAGAACCATTTCAAAAGCTCACTGACTTCTTGTACTTGAATACAATCGAATATCACTGGACTTGTACAGGCATAAGCTAAAACAAAATAGTATGAACAGCGCCTACTAAGAGTTTATACATTCGTAACCACCACCTTTTTGTGATGTGACAAAGATAATACTGCCATAATGTACCGAATACCAGACGGTTCATTGATCCAGTTTTTTTTTTTAAATTTTACATATATTTGCAGCATTATAAATTAGGCAGATGTACCAGTTATAGCTACACGTTCCTATTATGGTGTGTTCCCATTTTGGCAAATGGGATTTTCATAGGCCATTATTGGAACACACCATAATAGGAAGGTATAGCCATGACTGGACATCTACCCTATGTGTGATAATTCAGAACAATACTAAATTAACATGATTAAATTTGCGTACTATTTTCAGCATAGTAGGCAGAGATAATCAAGTTTTAAAAGTGTCCGGTTTTAAATCCGATACAAATGAAAACTTTCCTGACAAAAGAGGATGGATCTGGTGCTGTAGCAGGGAATAATGAGGAACAAACATCAATAATATTGACAATAATTTTTTTAATTTTCAACCAGTTAAAAGCAAGTATGAGTAAATATTTCAATTTTATCGAATCTCTTAACGGAATCCCGGAAGAGCGGTGGTTGAGTATGTTGTGGTGTTGAGTACTTGTCACTGATGCAGTCTGCAAGTAGTAGTAGAAATACGCATATCTGTCAAAAGATAAGCAAATATAACGTTAAATTCCGAGAATAAATCAACACACTCAAAAAGCTCTTCATAAGTATCAGTAGATATCGATTTCTTCGGTGAAAATCCTTTATTAATTCCGATAAGCTTCTTGGTTGGATACTGAAATTGAGTCGCCTGATTCAAAAATAACATCGATGACTAGGTTTACAAAAATGGGAGACTAAATTTTCTTCCTAAATTTCGTGTGTCAAGAGTCTTAACAGATATCCCCGAATATCCAACCTCTATATCTTGGAAGGTCCCACCGTACGTAAACAAATTCTTTTTTCGAAAACTGTCTCGTGATTGTTTCGCTATGTGCAAGGTGACGTTTTCCCCCCAGCGTACTCTTCCTCGCACCCTGCCGTGCAGTAACGCCAGGCTTGTTTTCCTGCAGCTAAATCCTACAGTTTTCAAACTTTGCGATGCGTGTGCTGCTATGCAAACCAATGAGGCTCATCCGCTTGCGATTGTTTGTGTATGAGTGTGCGCGGAGAGTCTCATCCGTTCAGAACAAACATTGCGTAATCAGCTCCGCGTAGTAGGTAAACCGCCGATCGCAGCAAGCTCCTGTCGGTCCGTCGTCATCCGCGCATATTTTCCCTGATCACACTCACACTCACACTCACTCTTTATGGGGGTATTCTAGCCCCGGTAGGCTGTGGGATGGGAAGTTTCCACTTAATTACTGCACGACAACCAGTATGACGATGTTATCTGGAATCCAGCACAGTAGTGAATCAATGGAGCTCACTAATTAGTTCGAGAGCATCGGCAAAATGGAACAACAATTATGTATATAAGTTAGCTAACACTGATAGTCTATATCTGCTACCTAGACCGGACTGCTGGACTGTCGTATATCTTATCATTAGCCCCATGTCATCCACCGAGGAACACGACGATAGAGCTTCGTGCTGGTTGGAACATCGGAGATGTGTGTTATCAATATGACATTGAAGCCGTGTTTTCTCACTTGTGGTGGGTTTTCGCTCTTTCTGTTCACCCGCTCTCCCTTATAGGGCGCAGTAAATTTACTCTGAACACGTTTTAATGGTTTATTGAACGTTGTAACAGACTACAAGGATTATTGCCTAATGTTGAGCAGGATTGGGTTGTGTGTGCGTAGATGTTGTTGCGAATTTTATGCTGCACGTCATCTTTTATACGTTATTTTTTCGCACTTTGTTGCTGCTACCTACGGCACACGTTCTATGTGGATGACAAATTTATATAAATACATACATCGATGTGAGTCAGGACAGGAGAAAAAACGGAACAGCCGATGTAGGTACAGAAAGAATGCCGATGATGTTTCTCAAGTTCGATGCGGCGATAGGTATATTTGGTTTGGCTGTGTTGGTTTCATCAATTAAAACCTATCATCCGTGTAGTGGTACTGTCCCATACCACAGTCATCTTTGCGTGGAGCGGATTTTCAGCGGTAAAGTGACCATGGTTTCGTGCAGCTTTTCATACATTCCTTTCTACGTGTACCGAAACATATGCGTCGATTCCGGTCGCTTATGCTACTATTTGTCAGTGATAGCGACGATAGGGGCCAATTACTAGGCATTGTGCTGCGAGCTTTTATCACATATTCTGAAACTGTGCGTGTTTCTCCAATAGGACTTCATTTACTGTCTCACATATTGCTTATTAATGATCGGTTTGCCATTAACCACGCCCTCATCCTTGACGTGTCGGAAAAGGAGATCGATTAGAGCGCATACCACAAGGCCCCCATCCTGTACGCCTTCCGTTGCCTCCTTTTCCTCCCTCTCCAAATCGCCTTTCCTTTTTCACTGTATCTAGTATAACATGAGAATAGCGCAGCTTGACAACTAAGCTCTAGGATCTCCCATAGCCTTGAAAATTTCTCTCCTTAACGCTCATATTAATTTCCGTGCGGCCGTGCGCGAGACATTGGGGTACTGCATTCAGCTGCGGTAGCTCCTTCCTCAGTGGCTAGCAAAATCTAAGGGGCAGGAAGGGACCTTGGTGATTTCCGTTTCGCGTTCTTACACCAGCGATGATCTCGATCTTTTGATGATTTTTTATTGCACTTTAGCCAATAATTCAATCTTTTTCATGCCGAATGTGCTCACGGTAGACCAGAAAAATCTAGAAAAAATGTGAGCACGGGGAGCTCGAGCTGCCATAATGTGGAGAGAAACATGCGTACTCTTTTCACCGATGGCAAGGCAGGCTGACGGACGAGAAAAAAGACGAGAAATTTGACTCATTTTTACGTCACATGCACTCACATGTAGGTGAAACACTGCGCTCCAGCATCTACTTTTTTCACCATCCAGACACTAGAGTCCCTGATCACTAATCACCATCCACACAGGAGCTCCTGCTGATGAGCTCGAGCTCCCCCTAGGGGTCCGGGATTTGAAATCTCATAAAATAGTCTGGAAGACGGAAGAAGCCCGACCGCATATCAAGAGAGCGCACACCGCCCGGCATCGAAGAACTTTTTCACTCGCTGCCTCTCGCTCGTATAACCAGCAGTACTGAAAAACCATCAGGCAGCCAAGGCAAAGGCAGTCAAAATGGCGACCTGGACACTCCTCAATGCGTCACACCGACTTCAGGGCACCGAAATTCCATCTTCCCAAACCGGAAACGGGTGAATTTCATGACGCCCCGATGGCACACACCATAATACGCATTTGTTACTTACTTTTTGCAACGAAGGGACACTTTTCGCGTACAAAATAATGGCACACACACTCGCTTTTTCAACAGAATCAGCTCACGAAAAGACTCCACGGCCGCAATATCAAAAATCGATCGATTTTGAGCGCTCCGCAAGCTCGACGAACCGAGGTTTGCACTCGCGACAAGCCTGGCATTCGTTGTCTCTCTCTGTTCTTCTCGCTCGCTCGCTGTCAACTATCAGGGGTGAGTTTCGTCGATTCTTCGGAGGTTTCGGCACAAATTAGCGTTTGGTGCTATAATTGTGTGACTTTTCTTTTTGTGTTTGTAAATATCGAAAATATAAAATTGAGAAAGTTACACAATTTGCTTCTTTTGATTTTGTCATTATCCATAATTAATTCATCTGCTATAATTTATTCGGGCACACAACATGTAATTGATTGTTGGGACGGGGCAATTCGTTTGCTATAAAATTGGAATTATGAAATCATTAGGTGATAATTGGGACTTGGTTGTACCAACAATCAATACGAAACTAACGATTTTAAATTGGCTCACTACTTGACTAGCCTATTGGTCCCAAGCAAACGATTAACGTATCCCATTCTAGTCGAAATTCTATTACTACACTATGTTTGTTTTGATTCGCTATGAAAGTTTGACAGATAACATCAGGGGTGTGTGGATTCATGCAGAACATGCAGGGGTGAGTGAAATAGCTTGGGACTGCTTGGGACCGTTGTTCTGGTACTGAGTGAGCCAAAAATAATAATGATTTTCTTCGGGACCCAGTGGTCTTAGAGTTACCTCTATGGTTGTACCATAGAGGTAACTCTAAGACCAGAAGGTCCCGAAGAAACGTGCTCAATTTATTGGCTCAGCTCTGGTACTCTCTTCGGTGCCAACCATAATAAAAAAAATAACCGTAAACGAACGATAACCCAAATCATTGAACTATTCCACAGATGGTTTGGATGATACCCAGAACACGTCGTTAAGCAAATTAACCATACAATTTGTATTAGGGAAGCTAATCGATTCACCCCTCGAAACATAGGAAATTCCACTAATCCCTCATTTTATCTGTCAAACTTTCATAGCGAATCAAAACAAATATTGTGTAGTACTAGAATTTCGACTAGAATGCGGTACGTTCATTAGACTGATGCAAAATTTGAAATTTTCGCTCCAGAGTGTTCAAACGGTTTCAAATCGGGTCCTGATTAGCCTCCGAAAGTTTAAACTCATTTGATTAGAATCTGACTTGGCACAAACCAATTGAAGTTTATATGGAAATTACTATGGAAAAACAAAACTTTTTGTTCATTGTCTTCTTGCCTTTTTACATATTGTACTGTTAACAAATTCTATTTCTATTCTTATGGGAATTTTTATCAGCTACAACTTTGCAGAAAATCGATTTCAGCCAAACGTCAAATTAAATAGTTGTTTAAGAGATTGATAATCTTATGGTAAGATTAAGCAAATGTATTGTGAGCAACACTGTATTCTGCAGTGTGACATAGTAGCCCTGATTTTTGTCCTCTATTCCACGCACCATAAACACCAATGTTGCCTGCTGAACAGTTGATTGTGCACTATCATAAGACATCAGTGACTTGAATCATTAATAATTTTTGTTCCTTACATTTGATCGAAAAGTGGTCTGCTACAAAGAAGTAGCTGAGAAAATTTTCAACAAGCTCAGCTATCATTTTCTAAAGTAGAGTGAAAAAGTGAATTTTGAGATCGATATGAACCAGAATTATGGTTTCTCCATAGTAATTCCCATATAAACTTCAAATGGTTTGTGCCAAGTCAGTTTCTCACTAAATGAGTTCAAATTTTGGGAGGCTAATCAGAGCCCAATTTGGAACCGTTTGAGCACTGTGGAGCGAAAATTTCAAATTTTGCATCAGTCTAACGTTCATCGATGTACTTGGGACCGATAGGCTAGTCCAGTGTGAGTCAATTTTAAATCGTTAGTTTTGTATTGTTTGTTGGTTGTACAGTAAGTTGTAAATGTCAGCCACTTCAGTCAGGAGTACTTCCGAGACTCCCTGACTCCAATGACCTCAGGGTCGGCACGCTTACCGATTGCAATTTCTCGGGGCAGGGAATGATCGCACGTGACACACAGATAAAAAAAACTCCACAAGCACTTCACTACTCAAGATTATAGATTTATTTCACTTTCCTGACAACTTTTATTCTCCCTCTTTTGTTTCTCTAATTACTCCCTTATTCTCCGACTTTCTTACAATCTATCTGACCTGTTTTCTTCGTCGGGGCTCTTCGCAACACCTTCACCACGTGTCTTCCACGTGTAAACTTCCGGTACGTCTACCGGAACTTCACTGTGTACAGGTGATCTGTACTGAATACAGCGGGGTCCTAATGGTCAAATACATTTGGAATTAGGACCATTTTAACCAAAATGGTAATTATTGCGGCTTACCTGCTGTTCTTGACTCTCTCCTCACACTTTTCACTGTTTTCACTATAACTTTATGTTTTCACATTGGTTCGCTATTCAAAGTAAATTTAGCTAGCTTGCTTGCTTGATCAACCGTTTTCGCTGGTGGTCTTACGATAAGTGATTATTAATTTAAAAGTTGAGTGAGTCATTGGGTCACTGCTCCAGGCTGTCGGCCAGTGACGCGGGCCATTCGTCGTTCATTGCCAGTTTGTCGTGCCCGTTATCCTCCATTCAAAATGACCATCTCCAACAAATTATTCGTAATTCGGATTTTACTGTAAATACTATCGCGGTTCGTACACCTCTGTACGGAGCGGTTAGGGGTCTGCTTGAAAAATTTCCTAAGGTATTTGAGGACTCAGTTGGTACAATAGAAAATATCCAGGCGTCGTTAAGTCTTAAACCGAACTCTAATCCGGTATTTCTAAAAGCTCGTACGTTGCCCTTTTCCATCCGCAACATAGTGGAACGAGAGATCAATGGAATTTTAATGAAGGTCAATCATAGTGCATGGGCCACTCCGTCTGTGTGGCGATTATAAAGTTACGGTTAACAAACATCTGAACATTGACGAACATCCTCTTCCGACAATTGACGAGTTATTCGCGAATATGGCCGGTGGACAAAAATTTTCGAAGTTAGACCTAGCTCAGGGGTATCTTCAAATGCAAGTACGCCCAGAAGATCGTGACACATCTCGGGTTATACCAACTGTGAGGTGCACAATTGACTGAATGGATTACCATTCAGTCATAGTGCAATATCCATTGATGAACCCCTCGACGAGCTGTCAACTGCATGAACAGGATTAATCTATTCATCTTCTTTAATCTGACCACCCAACGACGCTTCAATCAGCAAGCATCTCGTTCGTCCTCTTTCGTCGCAGTGCAGTTGAATAGGTAGGTTGTGCCTGCTCTCCAAAAGGGTTGGGTGATTCCGGTGGGATACGGTCCAAACCTCACACCAACCGTCGCGGCTGATGTATGGTATAGCGTCAGCACCAGCTATTTTTCAACGTGAAATCACTCAGGTGCTGGGAAATATTCCAGGCGTGTCGGTCTTTTTAGACGACATAAAAATTACAGGACCTGACGATGAAACCCACTTGAAAAGGTTGCAAATGGTTCTACAAAGGCTTGACAAATACTGTATACGTGTAAATGTGTCGAAGTGCGAATTTTTCGTCGATCGTATAGAGTATTGCGGGTTCGTTATCGATCGCGATGGAATAAGAAAAATGAAGAAGAAGGTTGATGCTATTCAAGAGATGCCTTGGCCACGTAATCGAGAGCAAGTTCGCGCGTTTGTCGATCTTATTAATTATTACGGACGATTCATGAGCAATATTAGCACAAATATTTACCCGATAAATAACTTACTAAAATAAAACGTACCGTTCGACTGGAACGGTCAGTGTGAAAAGGCTTTCCGTTGGATTTAGAAAGAAATGCAATCGGATAAGATACTTGTGCATTATGATCCTAAATTGCCACTCGTGCTCGCAACGGATGCATCGCCTTATAGCGTCGGCGCGGTATTGAGTCATGTGTATCCTGATGGTTCCGATAAACCGATACAATACGCCTCACAAACCTTAAACAAGACTCAACAGAACTATATGCAAGTCGATAAAGAGGCATACGCGATTATATTTGGTGTTAAGAAAGTTTATCAGTATCTTTTCGGGCGGAAATTTACACTCGTTACCGATAACAAACCGGTGTCTCAAATTTTTGCTCCAGATAAGGGACTTCCGACTCTATCAGCGTTAAGAATGCAGCATTATGCTGTTTTTCTTGAGTCTTTTGATTATGATATTCGTTACCGGTCATCTAAAGAAAACGCGAACGCGAACGCCATGTCAAGACTTCCAATTGACGATGTGAACAACAAAAATCGTATTGAAGAGGTCGATGTGATTGAAATAAACCTAATCGAAACGCTACCGGTAACCGCGGATGAGTTGGCGAAATTTTCGAAAGAGGACCCGAATGTGTGTGTGTGTGTGTATGTGTGTGTATTCCCTCTAACCCCCACTGGCCGGCAGTGTTATTATGGAAGAACTCTCTCTACAATGTCGCATTTATGGCTATTTTAGACAGCTTTAGTCCGGGAGTTAGAAGGTGATAGCTCTATTGCAGATCCAGCAACCCATTTCAGAATGTCTGGAGAGTCACGCCCATTCCGAGGTTACTTTCACTCACAATGTCACAATAAGCCCCGCATGTATGCATCACCGTTATCAAATGGATATTGGTGATACATACACACTTCCAGGTTCGAAAATATTTTTTTCAAACCTGGCATGTATTTAGTTTAATTTTGATATTTTTTTTTAAATAATTGGAAAGCTCTCACCATATTCTGCTATTCCGCCGTCGTCAATTGCTTCTTTTGGAATCCCTTGGACTTTTTCTCTAACGCTTCGTATTTCATTCCGTGCTTCCTTCACCAGCAATTTCCTTCCGTAGATCGTCCGGCTTCCGGATCATTATGCATTTGTAACTAACCCAAATGGACACAATTCAACAGCGCGTACATTAGAAAATTCAGCGGAGATCTGCTTTTTCGCCACATTTCACGGCGGCGGCGAAGGAAGAAAAAAAAACCCTGTTTGTTCACTCGCGGTAATCTTATAAACTCTTTCGATCATTTTTTTAAATAACCAAACACAGCACTAATAAACACACGCGAAATT